CAAGGTTGTTTTTTTTTTAGTGATATGAAAAGTTACCAGGTCCAACCTTGTTATTGTGACTTTTAGGTGAAGGGGCCACGGTGCTCATTCATACAGAAGAGAGACATGTGCATGTCTGAAAGATGTTATATATTGTTAGTGCACTATATGTGCACTCTTTACTCATGCTTGATAAAAAAAATTCTGGCTCGTACACACTCACACACCCACACACCCAGTGCTGTGTAAATCTGTTCGGCTCTGTTTCCTCTCCTTCCGCTGCTGATGATAAGCATGTGATTATTGCCTGCTGCTCTTTGCCTGGTCAGCTCTGATAGCCTCCACGGGATCCATCAGCTCTCAGAGCTCACACACACCTCAAACACTTGGCAGACACACACATATGCTTGTTGGACTCTTTGCAAACATGGTCTTTAAACACTTCCTACACACACCTCAAACACTTCACATCTTCATCGCATGAAGCCAAGCACATCTTATGTATAGCTACATTAATATGATTAGCAAAGCATTAGTTGTTAACTATTTAATTAATCACCAACTATTTAGATAATTTAGGGACCAAAACAACTAATGTATTAATCATATATGATCATCAGATTAATTAATAATGAAAGTAATTGTTCCACATGTGAACTGCAAGCACACGAGTCCAAAAACATTTGTTGCACATTTGTTTTTGTTTGTTTGTGGAAGAATATGTGGAAAAACCAACATGAAAACCATGTGCTTGCATGTATAATTGTGAATGTGAATCAGTTAACCTGTGAAATAATCCCATGTGCTTGCTTACTACAAAAATGTGTCTAAAAACCACATGTTGGGCGGTCACATGCGACTTTTTCGTGTATGTTATCTGGATTAGAAAAATATAGATTTTAAAGAAGGTAATTGCATGAGGAATACATTGGGATGCGATCTAATCAGTCAGACCACATCAGTCAGATGTAAATGACGACTTATTAAGAAAACAATCTGCCCAGCATGCTAACTCCACCTCTCTGTGCTATTTTAAACTGCCCATCATAAAGCTACAGACTTTAGAAAGCTACTTCCTCTGCAAAGTAAAAATAAGTAGAGCCCTTATAGCAGCATCGCCTCTGGAAATTCTCAAGGGATCACTACGACGTGCAAAACGAATGTTAATAAGCGTCAATTAGCTTTTTTGTTATTTCTGATGTCATGTGACCCATGAAACGTCGTAGTGGTCCCTCAAGAGTTTCCTTCATTGCTTCTCTTGACCTGAGATGCGACTCCACCAGCTCTGCATGCTTAATTTGCATATTATAATCTGATCACTATGCAGGCAGAATCAAGACAATGATGATGGTAAGAGCGCTATCTAACATAATGCTTCAAAAGCTCCCATAGGTCTTCAGTTCGGTTGAGATCTGGTGACTTTGATTGGCATATAACATGCACCATTTCCACTATTTCCATTAGTTTTTTTATCTTATTTATGCAGGGTTTTCCTTTTATTTCTCACCCATATTAAAGTGTGTGGGACTGAGCTTGAATGTACCTTCCAGTGATAGGACTGTCTGTCCAAACCTCTCCTCAGGAGAGCCCTGCAGAAAGTCTGACCTCCAGGGAATCTGTCTCTCTGCTCACATCCATTTATTCTGTTTCAAGCTCACTGTCACACATTACCTCTGGGGCATCTGTCAGTCAGCAGCTTTAGGATTTTATTACATAAATCAGCTATGAATCTCAGTTTCTTCAAGCAGTAGTAGTGTATTGATCCCTCACTGGGATGGTGGGTGGATAGGGAAGAGACACAGTGAACTGAAGCAAATTAAGTTTTTCATCTTAGTCATGTTATCTGCTGTGTACAGATTGGATTGGAGAGTAAGAATGTATTGTGTTTCAGATCTAGTACACGTTGCACTACTGGCACTTTTATACTTTTTACACAATAAAGAAGCAGATGAGAATTGGACCCAGATAAAAAGTAAAGTGTGTACTGAAGATGAATTAAATAATGATGGTGATGATGTCATAATAGCAAAACCAAATCCAAATGTAGATTCATCCACTTCTACAAGACTGTCACAC